TTACGATCAATCTCTTGTTTGAAAGCACGAGCCACTTCACACATCTTTCTTCTTTCTTCATCTTCCTTGTACGATTCATCTCTTGTTTGAAAGCATGAGCCAGTTCACACATTTTTCCGGGAAACGAATATTTCCGTGAGCAAGAGGATAAAATGGGTGTTTTTCCATCAAAGAACCGGACAAAAGTTTGCAAGAGAAAATGGACGATGTGACGGAAATACATGTATTTATTGTGCTCGGACGGACTAAGAGATATCTGTTGCGAAGGGGGGCTTTTTCTCGGCGTGCAACATCTTCAGTTTTGTAAATAAAAAAACATTCATGCGCCTTGGGTGAGCAATGTCCTCCAACACAAACAACTGCCACGCACCCACGACTCGCACACACAGAAACGACAAACAACCGCCATGACCATCTCACCGCGAACCGTTTTCACAGGGCACCGCTGTCGGACGACAACTCCCGAGGGCACACGCTGGTCTTTCATCGCAAAAGGGTGCACCAACAGAGGGAGCGTCGGACGTTCACAGCACATGGCCCCCCACTCCCCGAACGGAAACAGAAACGACACAATGGTCTGGCGTCCTCGGCACGCGACCATGTGATCGTATGGTCCGGCATCCCGAGGACGCCGGACCATGCGATGGTGTGATCCGACCTCGCGGGGATGCCGGACCATGGGATGGTATGGTCCAACGTTCCGAGGACGCCGGACCATGTGATGATATGCTCCGGCGTCCCGGGGACGCCGGGACACACGATAAGGAGGTCCGGCGTAACCTCCCACGATGAAGGGCCATACCATCACAAGGTGGACCGGGGTTTTGTGTGGCAGTGTGCGTTGCTATGCTTGCATGTTGACGAACATGAGTATGTTCTTTCCTTCCATAGTATGTGTTGTGTCTCTCCGATGGCCACTACGGTGTCGGGGGTCGTTACTGTGCAGTTGGCTCTCCTATGTGCCTGTGTGCGTCGTCCGCCGTGGATATATCACATTGCCCGGCGTCCTCGTGCCCCCGAACCATGTGTTAGTACGCCGTCCTCATGGTGAAGGGTCATGTGGTGGCGTGGCCGCCCTCCGCCGATCTCCTCGTGGGATCCTCCTACACATGCTATGACTCCGTGTCCGCCGCCCGCCATGGATAACACTCTTGGTCGGGCATCCTCGGGCCATCAAACCATGTGTTGCTGTGGCGTCCTGATCATGAAGGATCCTGTGGTCCCGTGGACCATGCCTGTGTGTTTGTGGGCCATGATCTCCTCGTCGGGTCATACAACACATGCTCTGTGTCCGTGCCCGCCGCCCGCCATGGACAACACT